TGAATGTTCACGATGCAAGTATATCCTTGTGCATGGCTGTTATTAGTCTCCAGAAACAGTTCATGCTTCAGTGTGCCAGGATATGGAGCCAGAGAAGAAGGGTGTTTTCAGAGTAATAACATTCTAAATTTATCATGCATTTTCTTAGCTTCTTTTCCTTGAATGTAATTTTGAGGAGACAGGAATCCAATATAGTAGATGTGGTCTTTTGTTGCTTACAGCTTGTTACTTTCCTCCACGTTAAAACTTGTAGCCCCCTTTCACTAATAACTGATCACAAAATTATCGATAGCCATTATAAACCATGAATACACAGCGAAGGGCCTTAGTCAGCAATTTCAGGATTTTAGAACAGAGAGGGGTAGTAGAGATCATCTGGTCCAACCACCAGTGTGGGAATCACCGTGGGAATGTGTTCTCCAACATCCCTGGTGAGAGATCTAGCTCAGTGGTTTTCAAAGTGTGCTGCATGTTAGAATCACTGGGGGAGTCTTAAACACCCCAATGCTGGGGCTCCACCCCAAACTAATTAAATTAGAATTTCTGGGAATGAAAAAAAAAACCTTTCCTGGAGACTGTAATGTATAACCAATGTTTGACCAAAGATCAAGCTTTTGCTTAGCTGTGTCCCACGATGAAGAATCTCTGCTTTGTGGGGTGACCGTTCACTGCTAAACAGTCCTTTCCCATTAGAATTAATAGGAATTAGTGCCTCTCTGGAAGCCACACAGAACCAGTCAGTTCCCTCCTTCACTGGCCAGCCCTCCAAACATGTGAAGCCAGTAAACAAGTTGTGAAATATAACCTATATTAACTATAATTTTTTTCTTTCTATGGCCCAAAGTACCAATTTATTTTTTTTACATTTTTAAATGTTTATTTATCTTTGAGAGAGAGTGAGCAAGCACAAGTGAGGAAGGGGCAGAGAGAGAAGGGGACAGAGGATCCGAAGCAGACTCTGCACTGACAGCCCCATGTGGGGCTTGAACTCACTCACTGTGAGATCGTGACCTGCGCTGAAGTCAGATGCTTAACCCACTGAGCCATCCAGGTGCCCCCAAAGTATCAATTTAAACTACCCTCTTAGATATACTAGTTTATAATGTGGCTTTTGATCCACTATTTGACTATTATCCTGTCCCAGCTTCATTATTTTGACTTCTTGATGAAACAATTCAACAACCATAGAAAAAGAGGTTAGATTTCTCTCCAAGTTTAAGTGAACAGATTTTTGAAGAGCCAATATGGGATGTGAGGTGTGTTTCCCTCCTTCCCATCAGCTGTCATGTTCCCAGCAGCCGGCTTCTTTCTCTCCGGGGCCCTGCACCACCTGTCTCCTTCTTGTCTATTACTCTCTCTGGGGCCCCACTTGCTTTTGCTCTCCCATTGTCAGCATGTGAGCCTGGGAGACGGCCAGGCCCGCAGAAGTGTGGCAGAAGGAAGAAGAAGGGGAGAGAAGAGGAGGATGTCATTGTCACACCCCAATTTAGGAACTCAGCTGCTATGTTGTAGAGGCCTGATCTAGCACCATATGATAAGAGGCTCAATTCTGGAGTTGTATCTTGTAGATTTGAGTCCTGGTTCCCCACTTACTCTGGCAGTAAACTTTGGGGGAAGGGAACTCAACCTATTTGAGCCTCAATTTCTTCATCTGTAAACCCAGAATTAGTAACTGTAACCTCTATGAAATATGTAGCTACTCCATGTAATGTACTTGGTACAAGGCCTGGGGTGTAGCTAGTCCCTAGTAAGAATTAGCTCTTATTTTCTGATTTCCCACACCCCCAATTTTGTCCACAGGCCAGTTACCTACCCTCTTCTCATCTAACCAGGCTGCCCAGCAACACTAGGTCCTAGATTCTGCCAGCCCCATCTCTGAGCACCCATCTTCTGCTTAGCTTAGACTTTCAAGTCCAGCTCCTTGCCATTCAACACCTCACCTGAGCTCATAATGCCTCCCACAGGCACTGAGGAAAAAACAGACAAACAAACAAACAAAAAGCAAACAAAAAAACCCCCTTAATATTAGCTCTCATGCCACTTGCTCACATGGATTGGAAGAGAGGACCGCAGGCAAAAATCTTGCTCCTGATCAGTTTTTCTTTTCTGCTTTCAGTTTTCTTTCTCAAGGGGCCCTATGAAATTGAACTTGGAACTGTGGTTTGTTCTTTCTTTAAAGCCTGCCAGGAAAATCATTAAGTTTTTAGTGGGCACTGGAGGATATCTTATTTCCCTTTCCATTTAACAAACATTAAATTTTTGACCAGGGTCTCCTGAACTCCACATACTAGCAATATGGCTTTTATTTTACTGGCTTCTTCATTTCATTTTGTCAGGACTGCCAGCAAAACGTTGGGAATGTGATCTGTTAGGCCATGTCTCCACCAGCCAAGATTTGAAGGGTGCAACAGATTGAAAATTTTTAAATTGCAGAACAGTACTTCAAATATGTGTTCAGTGAGTTGCCTTGCAGGAGCCCTTGCTCCCTCTGTTGGGTAAATGGATGACTTTCCAGGGATGCTGTATGAAAGAGTGATTAAAAAAAAAAAAATGGCTGTAGGCAGCTGTAAGATGGATTCTTTAGCCCAGTGTACATTTCTTGCTGTTTAAAAACAAGTTTAAATTAGGTCCTATAACAATTAAAATATATCCCCTGACGTCTGTACATAAGTCATTCCCTAGTGAGGGAAAGGAGGTTGGTATGTCCAGTGTTGCTGAACAGTTCTCAGGAAACTGGCACCCCAAATGTCAGGCTAGTTTTACATGGGTCATATTTAAATTTTTACCATTGGTTTTTCCAGAGTGTTTCCAAAGCAAGCTGCAACAAAAGAGCAAAAAGGGGGAAAAAACCCAAAAAACAAAAGCACAAAACCAAAATGCCACCAAGAGATGAGAAAAAAAATGTTTGACTGCAAGAACTCAGAACCACTATAAATAAAACAAACCCAATACTGTTCTTACTTCAAGTTACAGTCCCTTGATTTTTTCCACTCTCATTTCCATTCACTTGACTCCAAGTGGGTAAATCTTTCCTGATATCAAGTGGGCTTGTACTCCTCCAACCAAAGACATGAATTCACCTTGCTTGCCCAGGCAGGTAGATACATCCACAAATACACTCACAGGTACAACTAGATGAAGAGGTCACAGCAGCTAATCTTGACCTTAATATATAAAGAGAATGCATACTCTATATTCACTCTCCACAGAGTATTTTTTTGAATTGAATTTTTATTTCCTGCAGTGGTGATGGGCTCACCACTGATCCATGTGTGGTATTAGAGAAAAAAGTAGTCTTGCTATACTGACTTCATAACACCATTATGGAACCAACTATGTCAACCACTGTAAGATAATTAACACACATATACCCTCACAAAGATGTTAATGATGTCCTGGAATAGACATTACATCATTTCCTTTTATGTGATCTGTTCATTTATTTATTCATCAAGCAAGTGTTAATTCAGTCATTACTAATACAGACTGAAAAAAATGCAGCAGCACACTTATTGTTTCCTAAATTCATGTACTGAGTCTCCCTTGCCCTTGAGTTACATGGATACCAGGATAAAACAAAATCAATATTTGTTCTATTCATCGTGCATAAATATTTTCCCAGACAAGTGGTTATTTACCATACTGAGTCAACATACACTGCTGGAATATAAGAAGGTTCTCTGGAATATTCTTTCTTCTCATGGGTCTGGTAACATGGCCCAGAAAACAACCCAAAAGGGAGAGGTATGGACATTGATTATGTGCCTATCATAGTGAGTCAATATGCCAGGCATTTACATATGTTCTAGCATTTCGTCCTTATAAACACCCTATAAGATAGCTATGCTCTGATTCCCTTCATTTTATAGATGAGGAGACTGGAGCTCTGAAAGATTAAGTAATTTTCTTAAAATGTTCTGCTCTAGTGTTTCTTTTTTTTTTTAATATGAAATTTATTGTCAAATTGGTTTCCATACAACACCCAGTGCTCATCCCAAATGTTCCCTCCTCAATACCCATCATCCACCCTCCCCTCCCTGCTCTCATGTTTCAGTAATACAACATTTTCCCAAGATTTCCCTTTCTTTTCCTTCTCAGCCTTTTTACTAATCTTTCATTTCTCCTCCTCATCTGTGGCTCAATTGTGGACATTCTCCATCTATATTCCCTGGTCATCTCATCCAGTACAATGGCTTTAAATATTATTCATGTACTCAAATTTTTCCAGTACATATCTCCAGCCCAAATTCTTCCATCACTACTAGACTTGAATATCCAAATGCCTAATTGACATCTACACTTAGAGGAGGGGCAAGCAAACTCCAAATCTGTATGTGGAAACTTAAGACTTTGATTTTTTTTTTTTTTCCTCCAGATCTCGGTCTCCCTGATTTGAACCACTTTCATAAATGGTTCTGCCATTCACACAATTCTTCATTAAAAACAAAGAAACACACCTCCTTTACCACCTCCCCAATCCATAACAAAAATACATTGTAAATTTTTCTGCCTTACTCCATTTCCACCTTTGCCCAAACTTTGCTCTGATTGCCAATAACACCATATCTGCCTTTCTCCTCCTTGCCTAGAATATATAGTTATTTTAGTTTTTTATGGCCAAAGATGCTCCATCCACTTGAACATAAGGGAAAAGGCACCAACATATCAGAGACATTAGCTCTGATACACTAGATACAAAAACAACACCTTCAAATATCATGTGCTGGGTGAAAAATAACTCTTATATCTTTAAACCAAAATAGCCATATTATTTTCATATTATTTTAGGTGAAAACATTCCTAATAAACAATCTCTCCCACCCCCATCAATCCATATCTACACAACATCCAGAGAGGTGTTTTTTTTTTTTTTAAACATAAGCAAGATTTGTTCAGTTGCCAAATACTTACTGAACACATGTCATATGCTATGAATGTTTCTAGGTGCACATAGATACAAGATACACCACCGAACAAAGCAAACAAAGTCGGACACATTGGAGAACAGAGCAAAGACTCTTGCCTTTGTGGAGGCCAGAAATTTAATACTCATGTAAATAAGTGAATTTACTTGTATGTTAGAGGGTGATGTATGCTGTATGGGGGGGGGATAAAAATAAAGCAGGGTAAGGTTGATCAGAAGTAAGGGATACAATTTTAAACAGTTTGGTCAAGATGAATTTCAATGAGAAGATGACATCTCAGAAAAGACATGAAGGGCCTGGATGATAGTGGAGATAAGACTGAAGTTGCCATCAGCTAAGATGACGAAGGCTGAATGTAAATCAGATTTGTAGAAGAAGACGGAGGTCTCAGTTTTAGATATGTTGAATTTTAAATATCCACCAGATATTTGAGAAAAGAGATGATGTTGAATAAGCAGTGGAATGCATGAGTCAAAAATTCAGTTGACAAGTGTGCACAGCGGAGAACAAATTGTGAGTCATGGCCTAAGATGATATTTAAAGCCATGAGATTGCATGAGATCAGTAAAAAGTTAGAGTAAAAAAGACCAAGTCTTAGAACTGATGTGTTGCAGCTTTAGTAAGTTGGGGAGAAGAGGAACCAGCAGAGGGGATAGAGAAGATGAAGCCAATGAAGTAGGAAGACAACCAAAAGACTGAGGTGAACTGGAAGCCAAATGAAGAAAGTGTATTACGGATGACAGAGTGATCACTGCTACTGACTGTCAAACGAGGTAGGATCTTAGAACTGATCACCAGCTTTAGCAACAATAGGGTCATTGGTGACTGGACAAGAACAGTTTTCACGAATTGTTGGGGAAGAAAGCCTGATTGGAGTAGGTTTGAGAATAGGAGGAGCCTAATGGCAGCTCCTTTGAGAAATTTTGTGCAAAGGTGAGAAAGAGTTAAGTGTACTTGGGGCAAAAAATTTTTTAAGGTGGGAACGTAACAACATATTTGTATAATGAGGAGATGATCAAGTAGAGATTTAAAAGTGGATGACATAGGAGAAAGAGGGACAATTGCTGGTGTGATGTCTCTGGGTATAAATGGAGGGATTCACTTTACATAGTGTGATTTTTAAAACATGTCCACAGATATTTTGACACACCTCCCTTCAAAGAGGGGAGCTAATTTTTCTTCCCCCTGAATGTGGGCTTGACTGAGTGATTTCCTTTCAGCAAAAACAATGATGTTATGTGACTTCTGAGACTAGGTCCCTAACTGTCAAATGAAGTTGCTTGCTCTTGGAACATTCACTCTGGGGGAAACTAGCTGCCATGTTGTGAGTGCTCTCAAGATATCCTACAGAGAGATCTGTGTGGTGAGGAACTGAGACTCCCAACTGATAGCCATGTGAGGGAGCTGTTTTGGAAGCAGATCCTCCAGAATCAGCTGAACCTCAGATGATGGAAGCCCAAGCTGATACCTTGGCTACAACTTCATGAAAGTCTCTGAGCTAGAACTACCCAGGTAACTGTCTCCTCAATGCCTGACCCACAGAAACTATATTATCTTACAGCCACGAAGTTTTGGGGGCAGTTTGTTATGCAGCACGATATGACTAATTCAGAGGAGAACTCAAGACAGCTCATCTATAGCAACAGGCAGATATACAGAGCACATGAATGCCGAGTCTGTGGTAGGTGAGTAAATATGGAGTAAGGAATTTGTGGAGTTTCTCCTCAGATTGCTTTGATTTTCTCAGTAACATAGGAAGCAGGCTCAAGAATGATGTGAGTGAGCCAGCTCGACAGCTGAGAGGAAGGATGGGAGAGGAGGCTTGAGGGGAAAAGTAAAGTTGTGAAGTATTTGTACAGGGCAAGGATACGAACAGAAAGAATGGACTAGGGAAATGTAGTAGGATTGCAGGGCGGTATTAAAAACACAGAGAGAGTGCCATATCCAGTCACACACGAGACCAGTCAGTGTGGTTGTGGTCCAGCTCCAGACAGATTCAATGGCATTCATGCAGAAGTACAGAGTAGGTGGAGAATTGGATTGAGCTGGTGATTTGGTTTTGCCAAGTGAGTACTATGATACAAAACAGGACAAGGTATTTGTAAGGGGATGATTACAGAAATCAGGCTAGTTGCCTTCCTCAAAATCACTTCATCCTTCTGCTTCCTTGAAGATGGAATGGACATACTTAGCCACTTTTCTCCTGCCAAGTTGTTTTGTGCCTGGGTCTTAATTTATGAAAGTGATTACTCAGTAGTTAATGCTACTGAAAGACAATTTTAATGTTACTCACAGTTCCCCTAGAGACCAGAGTCATGGCTTGCAAGGCAGGGCCACAGGAGGAACACTAGTTTTTGGTCAGGAAACAGAAGCAGGAGCAAAGGGAGGGCCTAGGACAGAAGGCTCTATGGGGGTTTCCTGGCAGAGGCAAGGCAGGGCAGGATAAATAGCATAGGACTGGCTAGTGTGAGTAATTTCAGTGCACTTTGGGCTATAGGGATAGTCTCTAATTGTCTGGCACCTGGCCCTGGGATGAGTAAGGCAGAGAAATATTGGCTCCTGGGGTGCACAGGCCAGATGGGGAGATAGGGCTCTGGATTGGTTAGTTTACATTTCAAAGACATGCTCATCTTTGAGTTTTTTGCTATCTTTAAGAATTGACTAGTCATGGAGGGACAGTCACTTCCTAGTTAGAAAGTTGTTTTTTTTTTTTGAGACAGAGCAAAAGCAGGGGAGGACAGACAGAGGGGGGCAGAGGATCCGAAGCAAGCTCTGTACTGATAGCACAGAGCCCCGTATAAAGCTTGAACTCACAAACTGCGAGATCATGACCCCAGCCGAGTTGGATGCTCAACCAACTGAGCCACTCAGGTACCCCTGGAAAGATATTTTAAGATGTCAAAACATCTTGGGGCACTTGAGTGGCTCAATGGGTCAAGTGGGCTCGAGCCCTGCATCAAGTTCTCAGAGCAGAGCCCTCTTCAGATCCTCTGTCTCCCTCTCTCTCTCTGCCCCTCCCCAATTTTCTCTCTCTCTAAAATAAATAAATAAACTTAAACACAAAAAGACTGAAAGGTGGAGAGAAGAAAGCAGATTGGCACAGGACCTCAGGACCCAAGGACCAATCCTGTGGTGACTTTTCTGGGTTTTCCTCTTGCCCCATATATTCTGGACTTGGAGCTGGTATCTGGAAACGCCAATAACAAGAGCAGACAGAAAAAAGTCCCAACAAAACTTGGCTCTTTCTAGTAAAAGAATCAGGAAAAGGGCCGTCTAACAAGACAAAAATTTTTAGACAATACCTGCTTTACTCCAGCCACATCAAAAAAAAGTCACGTGGGAGCCTAGACTTCCAGCTCCACAAAGCTATAAGAAGGCAGGCAGCTCACTTTCCCCACTGGGGCAGCACTGGAGGAGGCCGAGTAGAGAGTCAGGACCTTTACCCTCACTGGCCAGTACTGAGGCCCATTCTTTCTGCAGTGTCGGTGGAGACCATCTGCTCTGGTGGAGCCAGAATTCCCATTCCCATGAAGCAGTAACAACTGCTTCTCTCAGGGTGGACAACGTAAGCCCTAATATGTCAATAATCACATTAAATGAAAGCAGTCTAAAACCACAAATTAAAAGGCAGAGATAGAGTATATTAAAAACCACAACCCAATATATGCTGTCTATAAGAAACTCACTTCAAATATAAAAATAAAGGCAAATAAAAGTATGGAAAAAGATATACCAGGAAAACATTAATCAAAAGAAAATAGGAGTGGCTATATTAATATCAGATAGATTCCAAAGTATAGAAAATTACCAGAGACAGACAAGGATATTATATAATGATAAAAGAAGACATAGCAATCCTAAATACGTACGCACCAAATAACAGATCTACAAAATATCTGAAATAAAAATTGACAGGACTGAGAGGAGAAACAGACAAATCCACAATTATAGTTGGAGACTTCACCATGCCTTTCAACATTGATAGAATAACCATACAGAGAATCGGTGGATATAGAATAACCCCAACAATACCATCAAGCAATAGGATTGAAGTAACATTTACAAAACACTCCACCCAACAACAGCAGTGTCCAAGAGACATATGCAATGATAGAGCATAACTTGGATCATAAAACAAATCTTAACAAATTTAAAATAGTTTAAATCATACAGAGTGATTTTTTTTAATCACATTGGAATCAAAATAGAAATCAACAAGAGGGGCGTCTGGGTGGTTCAGTTGGTTGAGCATCTGACTTCGGCTCAGGTCATGATCTCACAATTTGTGGGTTTTGAGCCCCACATTGGTCTCTGTGCTGACAGAGCTTCAGATTCTGTGTCTCCTTCTCTCTCTGCCCCTCCCTTACTCGCACTCTGCCACTCTCTCTCTCTCTCAAAAATAAACATTAAAAAAATAATTAAAAAAAAGAAATCAATAAGAAAGATAATAGGAAAATACTCTAAAAACTTGGAGACTAAATAACATGTTTCTAAATAATCCATGATGTCTCAAGAAAAATTTTTAAAAATACATTGAACTGAATGAAAATGAAAATACAACATGGAAAAATATTCGTGAGACACAGCTAAAACAGTACAGAGAAGAAAATTTATAATACTAAATGCATGCATTAAAAAAAAGGGGGGGAAGTCTCAAATGCATGATCTAAACTCCCACCTCAAGAATGTAGAAAAAGAAGAGCAAAAGAAACCCAAAGCAAGCAGAAAGAGTAAAATAATAAAGATTAGAATAGAAACTGATGAAAAAAATAAAAAATAGTGAAAAATCAATGAACCAGAGAACTGGTTCTTTGAAAAGATCAATAAAATTGACAAACTTTTTGCAAAACTTGACCAAAAGAGAGGAAAAACCAATTACTAATATCAGGAAGGAAACGGGATATTCCTACAGATCCTGCACAAACCAAAAGGATAAGGGAATACTATGAACAGCTGTACATCCATAAATTTGACAACTTAGACAAAATAAGCCAATTCCTCAAAAACCATAAACTACAGCAACTTATCCAACATGAAGTAGATAATTTAAATAGTTCTATACTTATTAAGGAGAATGAATTGTAATTCCAAAGTTCCCTAAGACAAAATCTCTAGGTGCAGATGATTTCACCGGAGAATTTTACTATAGGTATAGAGAATAATTAACAATAAATTCTACATAATCTCTTCCAGAAAATAGAATTAAAAACTTTAAGCCAGTATAACTTTAATATCAAAACCAAAGCTAGCATAAAAAAGGAAAATTATAGACCAATATTCCTCATAAATATAGACACAAAAATCCTTAACTAAACATTAGCAAATAAAATTTGACAACATATAAAATAATTATATACCATAACAAGTGAGATTTATTGTAGGGCACAAGGCTGATTCAATATTTGAGACTTAATCAATGTAATCCACCATATTAACAGGCAAATGAAGAAAAAATCACATGATTGCATCTTTCAAGGTAGAAATTTACTCAATGCCATTCATGATAAAAAAAATTAAGAAAAATCGGAATAGAAGAGAACTACAATAACATGATAAAGAGTACTTACCAAAAAGTCTACAGTAGCTAACATTATACTTAATGGTCAAGTGCTGAATGCTTTCTCCCTGTGTTCAGGAGCTAAGCAAAGATGTCCGCACTCACCACTCTTATCCAACATAGTGCTAGAAGTTCTTGTTAGTGCAGTAAGACAAGAGAAGGAAATCAGAGTCATACAAATTAGAAAGAAAAAAACTTAATATTTGCAGATGACATGGTAGTCTACTTAGAATATTCCAAGGAATCTACAAAAACACATTCCTAGAACTAATAAGTGAGTTCAGCAATGTTGCAAGATACAAGATAAGCATTCAACAATTAGTTGTATATCAATATACTACCAATGAATCTGTGGACACTGAAATTAAAATTCCAATACTATGTATAATTGCTCAAAAACAAAAATGAATCTTAGCTATAAATGAAGAAAACATGTATAGAACTTGAATGGTAAAGACTACAAAATGCTGATGACAGAAATAAAAAATAGATGGACAGTTGCATGGTGTTTATAGATTGGAAGACTCAGCATATTAAATATATCAGTTCTTCCCAAATTAACATACAGGTTTTACCCAATTTCTACCAAAATTCCAGCAAGATTTTTTTTATAGATGAGATCGAAAATTTTTTTTCTATGAAAAAAATAGTTAAAATAATTTTGAAAAAGAAGAGTAAAGTAGAAAGAACCAACCTACCCAATTTCAACACTGGCTAGATAAGCTACATTAATCAAGACTATGTGGTGCTGGTAAAGTGATAAACATACAGATTGATGGAAAGGAATAGAGAATCCAGGAATATACTCACACGAATATATTCAAATGGCTTTTGACAAAAGTACAAAAGAAAGATGGACATTTCAACAAATGGCATAACTGGACATCTATAAGCAAAAAAATAAGCCTCGCCATAAACTTCAGTCCTTACACAAAAATTCATTCAAAATGGACAACAGACTTAAATGTGAAATGTAAAATTATGGTTATAAAAATAGGAGAAAATCTTTAAGACCTTGAGTTAGACAAAGAGTCATAAACCTGACCCCAAAAGCATAAGCCATGAAAGGAAAAACTGATAGATTGGATTTTATCAAAATTTAAAGTTTTGTTTCATAAAATCCCTATT